TATTTAGCCATTCATACTGCAAGAAGAATCCTCCCCAATCCCAGCTCCAGTTCTGCTTTTGCAGCTATCAGCCAGTCTGTCTCTCACTGTTGTGTGGTGCCTTGAGTGAATCCCTGTGGTGGCCATTTCAAAAGGTTTTGGGTGGGATTCAACCCTCCCTGAGTTGTTTTTTTTAACTTTTTGGATTTTTCTGCAGACCCACAGAGTCCCCTGAGTCTTTAGAAAAACCTCTTGGGGGAGAGTGTGCCCTCTGTGGAAATAAGTACCCGCATGCAGAGGGGACTGTTGAGAATTAGATATATAGATGTGGATCAAACTAGACAAAATTCAGGGAGCTCTGTGACTCTCAACCATTTTTCTCCATAAATCACTGTTTCAGGGCGTGATTTTGATAGGATCATGACATTTGTTTTCCAGTTCAAAGACCTCCCCCCCATGGAGCTGCTGTTTGCGTATTGCTTGTATGTTTGGCACAACAGAGCAAAATGCCTGTATGTTTGTCCCAGTGGGTTAAATGGTAGCTCCACAGGATTGTTTCAGGGCAGAGAAATGGTGCTAGGAAAGAAAGGTTTAACCCCTGCAGTACAGCCTGCTATTTACAAAGAAAAAAATGCTTAAAGGGTCCCTTTAAGCACTTCCAGCTGGCGCAGCACCAAGTGCGCGCCACTTTGAAACTGGACATGTGAGGCCAGTTCTTGCCAGTTGGAAGCACTTAAAGGGTCCCTTTAAGCTCTTCCAGCCAGCGGGGCCCCGCACCCAATCTCCAAGCAGTATTGCCGCTTGGAGACCGGGCGTTCAGGGCCAGTCCCCTCTGGTTGGAAGTGCTTAAAGGCACCCTTTAAGTGCTTCCAGCTGGCGGGGCCCCGCACACCTGCAGCCGACCCCCTCCCTCCCCTCTGCAAAATTTAAAGGGCCCTCCAGCTTTCAGCTTGAGGGTTCTTTAAATCTCTCAAGAGAGAAGGGAGGGGGTGACTGTGGGGGTGGAGCTTGGGGCGGGGCTTCCTGCCCTAGCCAGCTGGCCAGCGGGTGGGTTGAAGCCCCAAAAAGCAGGTAAACCCTGCCAGTCCAGGGGGTCTGGCAGCCTTAGCCCCTTATGAGGGAAGGCAGACAGTGGCACCTGGGTTGGTCCAGCTAAGCCCCACACAAGGTGAGGGAGGTACCCAGTTGGTCTGACTTATATGAGGGAGTCAGTGCCTGACCCTCCTGAGGTAAGGGAAACAGCACCAGTCATTCCTCCCTCTTTCTGTTCCCCCTGTGAGAGTGAGGAGTAGGGTTGGACATACTGCCTCTTTCTCTCCTCTCCCTCCTGGGGGGGGGGGGCAGGGCAGGCTGGGAGCTCCCTGTCCACCCTTGCTCACAGTATTGTTCTGAAGATAAAATGAAGGTGCTTTGAGTTCCCATTATGGAGAAAGTAAGCTATAAATGAAGAAAATAAGTAATAACAAATAATAAAGTTGAAGTTGGGAGAGTAGATAAAAGGTTGCGGATGGGTGAAAAGGAGAGAAGGAAGCAGAGAAGATTGAGGATTGGGGATTGTCGGGTGGAGAGAAAAGGAAATAGTGTGGGGAAGTTGAGATATGGGAAAATCGGTGCCCTTCATGAGTACTTGCTGGTTCCTCATTGTGCAACTGGGTCTGCCCGGGCAACAACCTGGATCATTGTTTTCCTGGATAAAAGCTGCAGAGGGTATGGAAGGACAGAAAACTGAAGATGGGGAGAAGATATGGGTAGGCTGGCTATTGGATGGGAAGAGGAGGGGTGGGGGGAGGAGAAGCTATGGGGGTTTTCAAAGAAGGGAAATAAAAATTGGGGGAGAGGGAAATTCACCGCACAAGTCCTTGTGAGTTCCCACTTGCATATTCTAATAGCAAAGTGTGGCCCCACGTGAGGATACTGAAGCAGTGAATCGATAAGACAGATGAGATGCCCTCATTGGCTGTTGCTAGGCAACCACAACAGTTTGTTCAGCATTCTGTGTTTAGTTTCTACTTCATTTCTGATATTAAAGGTGGGGGGAAGGAGCAGGGCCATTCCGTGGGCTGTTTTGGCCTTTAAGAGAGGACTCATTGGGGCCAGGCCCAGCAGCAGCCACTGGATAGCCTGATTGAGATTTTGCCTGCCAACAACTAACTGGGAGACTTCAGATTGGTGATTCCTTTAAAAAATTCTAGGAAGATTGGTTCCAGATTTAGTAACAGAAATGAAGCACTTCTATTCTGATGAGGTTTGCATGGTGGTTGCCAGGAGGAGGGGAAGAGGAAATAATGTGGGGGGCGAGATACAGGAGAAAGTAAGATGCCCCCAACAAGTCCTTGTGGCTACCTACCATGCAAGTGAGCCTGGCCCAGTGGCTGGCACCACACAAGTGGGTGACTGTTTTCCCATTTAGAGCAGGGGTGTCAAACATAAGGCCTGGGGGCCAGAACTGGCCCATCCAGGGCTCTTATGTGGCCCGCGACCAACCAGTGCAAGGGAGGGAACAGGCGACTGCTCAGGGGGAGTGGGCAGAGCCACTCTGATTGTGGCTTCAGCATGGCAGAACAACCTCGTCTGCCACAGTCAAGCAGCATGGGAGCATCTGCCCAGTGCTGCACCGCTGGCTCTCCAGTCCGTCCATAAGGGTTTTCCTTTGCACCTCCCACCCAGCCCATGGGGCCTTGCAGTGAGGATATACCAACTCGGAGCTTACTAGCTGCCGTATTTTATACAGTTTATATCTCCAGTACCTGGCATTACGTTTATGGCACATATGGCCCAGCCCGACAAAGTGGCATTTATGTCAGACCCAGTCCTCGTAACAAATGAGTTTGACACCTCTGATTTAGAGGCTTTGGGGGGGAGGGAGGGGGAGGGAAAACTGAAGATGGGGATAGCAGATAAAGTAGGTGGGGTATTGGGTAGGAAGGAGAGAAGGAAGTAGGAAAAGGATAAAGGCTATGGGGGCTTACAGGGAAGGGAAAGGAGAAGACATAGTAGTGGGGGGGGGGTTAGCCCCCCCCCCAAGTCCTTGCAGGTCCCCTACTTGTATAATATATAAAGAAAAGACAAAGAAAACAGACTTCATTTTGTGTGTGTGCATTTTTATTTCACCATTTTAAGTGAATAAAATACATATATTTATGTTTTTTTAAAAATTAAAGGGTGGAAATGTGCAAAGAGCAAAGTGTGATGGGCGCATGTGCCATTACCCATTTTCAACAATCCGAAATCTCATTTCTTGGCAGAAGACAACTAAATCCAGAACATAATTGAATTGTGGAATACTAGCTGAGTAGAACTGCTCATCCTTACTTAAAAACTGTTAACATGGAGAGATTATTTAGAGTGCACTTTAGTTTGTAGATGGTATATTGGAGAGGAAAACGTTTGGCACGTCTTCTGTATTTTTTGTAAGAAATTATTTTAAAAAATTAGCACAGACTTTGTTATTATTTTTGTGGCATGATTAGATAAATGTTACCCAGGCATTCTTTTGCTTTTTTGGATCAGACCCCACAGGAAGCAACTTAGATTCACAATATAACTGCCATAGATGATTTTTATAAAATATTTGACTTGCAAAGCAGTCTACGATCTGTTTATATTTGCTGTCACAACAATCAGTAAAATACATTCGACAGAGAGTGTTTGCCCAGGACCATTTGACAAAACAGTGGGATCACACAGATTCTCTACTATCATATTACATAATCATTATATAAACTAAGCATTGCTGCATGCACTGTTTTTATGAAACATTACAAACCAGCTTGCATTAAGGTCTTTGGAGGTTTGCTTGCTGCAGACGCTTTGCAGCAGGTAAAAGTTCATATTATAATGAGCTGCAGAGCTCCTTCTAAAATGGCTGAAGTGTACTGAGCACAGGCTGCAGCTAACAGGAACAGTTTTATTTTCTTATCAAAAAATGAGCAGGATTTATAATTTTGATTGGCTGGAAATGCCATGGGGAGATGGAGATTTAGGTACTGTATAACATTTTCTTCACTCATTCTTTGTTCTTGCCTGTTTATTTGAATTGTTTTAACCTTCTCTCTCTGCAGCATTTATAAAACTGTAGGCTGCGATCCTCAGTAAATCAGATACCAGATGGCCTGGAACGCAGAGTCTATATTTAGTCAGAGGTACTTTGCATTTCAGTGAGAGTGGAAAGAATCATAAGAACATTTTGAAATGGGTATACTTTCCAAAAATGCCTTTAGAAGTCTTGTATATTTTATTCTAAAAGGCAGACTGTTTTGCTGTGTCCAGTCCCATAAATGGGAAAGCTCCTATGTACCTCAGAAAAAGTACAAGAATTTTCTAAAATTAACACACAGAGTACATCAGATGTAATATTACTACGTACGACTCTGCCTGCAACAGAAACAGTCACATAACTGAGCACATTAGGGTTGCCAATGGCAACTGATGGGAGTCGGGGGGGGGGATGGCTGTGCTGTCATCATGTCACTTTTGAAGAGTTTCCATAGAACTTCCAGCAATTCTCTGTGAAAGTGATGTAACACTATTGACCAGCAGCATTTTTCCCCTCCCACCAGCTGCTGGGGGAAAGACATGCCCTGACCCCAGCAGGAAAATGAGAAATGTGGAGCACATGCATATAAATGCATGCACAGCAACACACAATATCATTTCCTCACATACACAACCAGCTATGCAAATAGTGATGGTTGAAGATCTTGATTGCATGTATTCTATAAATTCAGATCCACTGTAAGATCCAAGCCTTTTTCCGTCCAGCTGACTCCCAACACACTGCTATGCATGTTTATTCACTTCCACCACCAGTCGAATAGGATTTAAAATAAACTCTTCAAAGTCGAAAACTTGAAGACTTTAATGTGTCCCTTCCTACTTTTGTAATAAAATATACCCTGAGGGAGAAGATTTATACTGAATAAGGATGATACAAAATTTGTGGCCTTTAAATGTACTTTAAATGTATTATCATAATTATTTGTCCTGTGTAATCCAGTGTTGTAATTTAAATTGTTCCATAGGTTCTTGGGCTGATCGCTCACCACTGCATGAAGCAGCAAGTCAGGGACGTCTCCTTTCACTAAAAACTTTAATTGCACAGGTAAACATGCTTATTTTTTACTTGACTCTGCATTTTGTGAATACAGTCAACTAAGATGCCACAGTTGGCTTAGTTCAATCACAAGATGCTGATAGAGTGCAGTCTGGTCCTATTCCTATGGATGACTTTCAGTTGGTGAGGCTTGATAAAGTAGACAGGCTGCTTAGAAGTATGCAGTTCTCCATACCTAGACTCAACCCCACTGTACCTAGAGTCCATCCTATCAAGTCAGTTTAGTTTAGTGTGTTTAAGGAGGTAATGAATGCTTCTTGAGGGAGGATGTGGTCCCAACCACTGAGAAAGAAGCAGTCATGAAATTGCTGTTGAAACAGGCATCTTTGGACATGAATGACCTAAACAATTAAGTCTCCACTTACCACCATTCCATTTTTGGGCAAGGTATTCAGGTGGATGATTATCTACATATCTTCAGGCAGTCTTGGATAAAATGGATTATTTAGACCCCTTTTAATGGCAATTCAGGCCTAGGTTTAGAACGGAATTGGCCTATGGTCACCTTAACTGATGATCTTTACCAGGATACTGACAGGGGAATCATGACTGTTGATTCTCCAGAACCTCTTGGAGGCTTAAGGTACTATGACTATGGAATAGTTCTGGAGACACTGCTGGATGGTGGGGGTGGGGAAGAGACACACACTACGTTTTGATGGGTTCACTCTTTATCTGACTGGCTGGCTGCAGAAGATCCTGCTGGGGACTGCTGCTCAGCCTCCCTGGCATTTACGCTGTGGGGTCCCAGAGGGGTTCATTTTGTCCCCGGTGTTATTTAACATCTACATGACTGCTCAGAGATCATTCAGGGATTTGGAGTGATCTGCCATCAGTATGCATATGACATCCAGCTCTGTTTATCTCTAACAGCTGAGTTGGTTGAGTCTGCAAAAGACATGAACAATGCCTGAAGAAAGTAATAGGATGGATAGGAGCCAATAAGCTGAAATTAAGTCTAGAGCTACTGGAGAACTGAGGGTCAGTCTGCCCTGGAGGAAGTTGCATTCGCTCGAGAAGGTTCATAAGTAAGGCTGCTGCTGGATCTTGGCCTGTTTATTTATTAAAAAATGAGCAAGATTTATAATTATGATTGGCTGGAAATGCCATGGGGAGATGGAACTCCCTAGTGGAACTCAAGGCAGCTTACAACATAAATAAAATGATTATAAAAATACAATTAAAATGATGTAAATTATTTGTTGTTGTTCAGTTGCACAGTCGAGTCCGACTCTTCATGACCCCATGGACCACATCAATTATAAAAACCCATAAAAAATGATTAAAAAAAACTCATGATTAAAAAAAAAACTAAATCAGTAAAATACAGTCCTAAATAAAACTGTCTATTGTTGGAGGCTCAGGTCTCTGTGGCATATAGCACCTTTTATCAGCTTTGACTGATATGGTAGCTATGGCTATTCCTCAGAAAGCACAGTCTGGCCATGGCAATCTATGGTCTGATCACATCCAGGTCAGTTACTGTAATTACATATTACATGAGGCTGCCTTTGAAAAATGTCTAGTAACTTCAGCTGGTCCAAAATATAGCAGCCAGGCTATTGGAGGCTAGATACAGACACTGTACCACGCCTGTGATGAAAAGTCTGCACTGGATGTCCATTTGCTTCCGGGCACAATTCAGACTGCTGATTTGTACCTTTAAGGCAGTTACAGTGCAATCCTAAACAGAGTTATGCCCTTCTAAGACCAACAGGCTCAGCAGAGTATAACTGTGTTTTGGATGGCAGCGTCAATGTCTTGGAGCAAGTGCCCCTGAAAGCCCGTCCACTAGTTAAGCTCCTACTTCTAAGCTCTGCTTTCTGTGCCCTGTCTGCAGAGGTGAGTTAGATGGTAACCAGAGAAAGGGCTTTTTCAGTACTGGTACATATGTGTTTGTTGTTCATCATGTTTCTCCTTGTCAGACATGCAAGAATATTTTGAATGTAAGTTTACATCCCCTCATGATTAGACTAGCATTAGGTTTACACATGCTTTTGAGTAACCACAGGTAACCCTGTCGGCTTGGCCTTAAACCAGATTTTTAAAAAAACAATGAGCTGCCTTTTGATTTTAGACTTCCTGTCTTTTGCTGTTGAATAACTGGTTTAATAGTGAGGTGGGTTTTTTTTTTGTTTTTTGTTTTTTTGCTTGTTCAGGGTTACAATGTAGATGCTCTAACAATTGATCAAGTGACTCCACTGCATGAAGCGTGCCTAGGAGACCATGTTGGGTGTGCTAGAATCCTCCTTGAGGCAGGAGCAAATGTGAGTATTGTTCCTTCATGTAAAGTCAGTACTAATAATACCTTAAATAGTGACTACAAAGAGTCAGTGCAATTGTTGGAGCACTAGTATAACATACTATCAGCGGCCAGTTGTGTTCTGCTCTAAATTATGATTTCCAACAGTAACTGAGGTAATCCACTTGATATAAATTATGGATCAAAAAATCCACACACTGGGGCCAGGGACAGACAGACAAGAGATTTCTACAAGCCTGGGGGATGCCTTGGTTTTGCAGAAAACTATGACATGTTAAGAAAATGCATTGGAGGTGTTAGAAAAATCCAAAAATTATACAAGCAAACTCTGCTTCTTTAAGAAAAGTGTGCCACTGAGTTCCTGTGGGACTGTGTTGTGAGAAGTCAGTGGCCATTTGGGGGGCAACCTGCAGTCAACATTGCTGAGGATTCCAAGGCTCAGCTAGTGTCAGTGGAGGGAGGGGCTAAGAGGGATAGGCTAAGAAAGGCAACAGGAAGGAGGGAAGGTAACATTGTCTAGTCTTGATACAATATATTCCCACTTTCTTGAACAGCAGAAGATTAATTAATGGAGAGTTTTCTATTCTACCTCTTTTCCTGTGTTGTATCTTATGCATTTTATTGGTTCAAGGACTTTTATCCTTCAGATTTTGCCTACTCCC